CATGTGGAGTTACCATTACGTCTTCTTCTGTACCCTCATTCTCCTGATCATGGGTCTGTTTAAAGATGGTGTATAAGGAAAATGCCTCAACAAAGATGCCTCCTCTCCTCTTTCTCTCGCGTTTGCTAAATCCACTTGTCCACTCATTTTTGATCTATGACAGATATAATGTTACACTAAAGTCCGCTCAGTTAAGTGCGGGTTATTACAAAACTGACGTTTCCGCGCTTGACCAATTACAACATTCTGTTTAGTTAAAGAAAGAAAGGCAATTTAAATATAATAATAATATTAATATGTTATCGCGATTATTTTTGCTCAGAGGAAATACAGTCTGAGCAATATAGCTTTTTGCAGAGAGGGAGTCACCTATAATAAGGCTAAAAATTATTAAATACCCACGAGACACTTGTGACTTTATATCACATTTGCATTATTTTTAAAAAATGTTTTCTTTCTGTTAAAAATAAATATATTTCCAATCTGGTATGTAATGGGTTCAGCTGAGTTCAGCTGATGGTGGATTCAAACTGAGTTGATTTTCAATCGTGTCAAAAGATGATGCTATGCGCCTTACAAGGTGCACCACTGCGGCTGTAACAATACACAGCTCTTTACTTATATCGGCTCTATCAATCAGGGATCGATGGGCGTAAACTCTGGATAGCTAATTCCAACTAGATGCGCTATTTGCAATTAGCCTAAAAAGACACCCCGAAATTGTCTTTTTTTCTCCCACCTCACAGGGGCCCCTAGTGCGCACGGGCCCAAGGGCCTGTGCCCATAAGGCCCATTGGTTAATCCGGCCCTGCTCCCATCTCCCAGCCTGACCAGCTAAGACCAGGCTGGAAATGGCTGGAGATAGGCCTGGAAGTGGCCAAAACCCTCCTAAAACCAGCCTGGTTGACCAGCTAAAACCAGCCAACCAGCCATGGCTGGTTTAAGCTGTTTTATTAGTAGGGAACAGTTCTGATATCTCAAAAGCTCTATTTTGGACATACAGTATGCCTTAATTGAACAATTTTTAAGTACCCATTTTATTTTTTTTGTTGTATCTTGCCACTTCTGATCACCTCTTTTTATACACATATAAATATGTAGGTCTAAATACAAAATACATAGGTGTTCACATTTAAATCATATACACAAGTTTTCTGATTTAACTGTCATATGGTTGCTGATTGAGGTCATCGGTTTATTTTAGGACACTGAATTATCAGACGAGCCAGGCTGAAACCAGTCCTTTGAAAAGAGTTTTGGCCCAGGTGGAATCCACATTCGTGACACTGTACTATTTTATCTTGCCCCTTGCATGCAGATTCCAAGCTGGATTTGCTTTGATCTTGTGGTTTTTATGATTTGCTTCTGAATCTGATTAACATACAATTTTGCTGCAGGCAGTTTGTGGTGGACAGACTTCCTCATCCTCAGCTTATGGGGTAGGAAAGGGTTGCAGAGTTATAACTGTATGGGATAGGGGTACAGATTTAAGAGACAAACGTGCCAAAAGCAACAACACATGCCCTGGCTTTTCTTTGTCTCCACTTGTGTGGTTTCCAGATAGAAATGTGAGTATGCATTATTGTATGATAGTGAAATATGGTAGAAACAAAAATTTTTACAATTTGCATAATTTGTAGACCATGAACTTTACTTTTATTGTCCTCAAAAGCTTTTTGTAACAACTACAATTACTTTGTGCACCCTACATTTGTACAATAGTTCTGAGACAATAACAGTATCAGTATTAAAACCCAATTCAATACGTTTTTTTAAAGCCTCAAAAGGCATACCATTGAAGTTTGTATGTGACACAAAAGCATTTCAAGACTCCCAAACCTTTTATATATATAAAAAGGAGATTTTTGGAAGAGACTGCCAAATAAAAAATATTTTTACAGTATATGTGGTTATATTAGATATTTGGGTAAAGGTTTGCAATAACAGTACATTAAAGAGCCCTATTATACAATAGAGTCATATTTTGGTTGTAAGGGTCTCCAACAACAGTCTAATATGCATGCAAGGTCAAAAAATACTTTCATGGTCGTATAATCTGCATTTATTTTTACCTAATTATCCCAGCGACTCCCATATGAATTGTTCAGCGATTCGTTTGTTCCCAAACCTTATTGCTTATTGGAGTGATGACAGTCTGTCGCGATTGGTCGACAGCGCTCAGCTCGAGACAGAGTAAAATGCCCAGCACGGCTTATCAATAATATTGAAGTAGTCAGAGTGTATAGTGTTATGTGAGCACACCTGCCAACACTCCTTTTTTTTGCTGGAAGTCTCCTGTATTTCCGACCCAGCTCCAGCCACCCACTCATTTGTTATTTATCCTGGAAAGCTCCTGTAATTAAAACCTCCTCAGCATTTGATATGGTCGCTGGAACCCAACTGTGGTCGCTAACATTGGTATAGGATCCAATCGCAGTGGCCGCCTGAAACACACTTCTTAGTAGATACTAACACAATAGCACACCATGTTTTCACCAGTGTTATCAGGGCCGGCATGTTCATAAAGGCAACCTAGTTGGACGCCATGGGCGGCAGATTAGTGAGGGCAGCATCAGCGAACCCCCCGGTCCTTACTTTCATCTGCAAACTGGTCACTTTCTTTTTCACTTTCGGGTTGAGGATGGCATGATCGCTGTTCACCTAGAGCGCCAGTTCAGCTTGCTCCAGTGTAAGAACAGCTGACAATGGCCATAGCAATGACAAGCAGCAGGGGAACGCGAGCTCACAAATCCATTGAAATCTGTAAACAAATCAGCACGCGTCACATTTTCCACGTGTAATTTGACGCGATATGAGAATATAAAGAGTTAACATGATACAGTACAAGGGGTTACAAGTAACAAAACATAAGTAATACATAATTTGGCAACCATTTTAATCCCACTTACACTTGTGAAATGAAGGAAAGAAACTGATCCATGATCCACTGATCCATGTCCCTTACATCAATAGTCTTTTCTGATCTTTCCTTTAACAAACGGCTGATGAATTCTCTGTTGTAAGCGTGTAGATTCCAGAAGATTCATTCCAGATTCATCTTTGGGTAGAGAAAATAGCACTAACTTTCCCCTCACACTTCCAATAATATCTAGGAGAGCACAGAGTTGATTTAACCGACGTCTGCTATCGTGTGTGTCTGGCCTCTTTTTTGTACTTTGAGTACTGTGTTTGTGAGCGGAAGTGCAGATTTCAATTTTCCCGGGTTTGCGTGCGCAATAACTGGGTGGAGCTTAAGTTGCGTATCCACATCACGCCGAAACGGCTAAAGACTTGTTATCAAGATGATTCATTTGAAGTATTAGAAGTCGACTCTTTTATAAATGAATCAATAGCTTTAAACACTGTCCACTTTCAGATTTAAGCCTTAGCTGGATATTTGACTTCACTTAGAGCTGTTTTACACACTACAAGGAAGGCCATATTCAAAAACCTATAACAAGGGCTCTTTAATAATGTTGTATTAATATGTAAACTAGCGGTTGCACGACTACTGATTTTTACTAATCGATTTCTTTTCTAAACAATACTCGAATTACTCGACTACCAGAGGTCCGCCTTCGCGACAGCTGATTAGTTGGGAGACCAGTCCATCGTCATTAGGTAACGTGGTGCCAGAAAGGATATAGAAAGGATGCCAGGAAGAGCGGGAAAGAGTGCTTTTTCCTTTGATCTCGTTTCTGTGTGTTTTTGCTGACATGATAATGATTTTCATTGTTTTTGCTCAACTTTCGTTTGGGCAAAATTATTTTGCATTACTTTTGCCCATTTTGAGAAACATTGTGATTTTTTGTACATTTTTATTTAGATTGATTTGTTTGTTACTTTTTGGCTCCGCTCTTCCTGTCATATTAAGCTATACCTCCTCAAGTTCACTCTTTTCTCAGAGTAAGGTGAATAGGAAAAATGTCGTACGACTTAAATTTTTCAAACACGTAGAAAATTGTTAAAGACATCAGGTAAGAGGTGAACGTCATCTTTGTATTTATTTTATTCTACAGTTCAGTTTAGGGAAGAATGTCGCACACAGTGCTGAAGACATTTCTTTTTACCAGTTTCTAGCGAGGTAAGGGGTTATTTATGAGTTAGTATTGTTTTGTTATATTTCTTTCTTTTGTTTGGTTTCCCTATCCTCCCCTTACTCTTGAGTTTAACTGTTTGTTTGATACTTTGTTTGAATTTGCCACTTTATTATATAATTTTTTTAAATTGTTAATATTTCTCTTTGTATATACTTGGACAATATTCTGGTTTCACTTTTTGTACATTAAATCACTTTTGTTGGCAGTTCTGTCAAGTGTCTTTTGCTTACACCCTTACATTGTGAAAATACCACACCTTTTAAATATTATTCCTTTTACCCTAGCCTAGACTAACATCAACGAGGTTGTAACACGGTGGTTCAAACAACACTGGTTAAAAAGACACAAAGAAATCCTTCTCAATACACTTTTATTTTTATTAATTCATAGCCTAAAGCAAAAACGTCATGGTCAAAACATTGACAACATTTTTATTTTTCAGTTAAAGAGTAATACAAAAAACGTATTGACCTACCATGCATGCAACAAATCTTAACGCCTGCTTCATAGGCAACCTGTAACAACTTATTGCGATAACTTTTTTATTTAACAAGCTTTCAGCTGTAATAAAAGTTAATCATAATTACTGAAGCCAGTTCGTAATTTTCTTTTAACAGTAGTTCGTAAACATTACAGCCCACCATAAAAAAGTATAAATAAATAGTTTAAATTGGAAATACATAAATAAAATAATACAAAACAAATAAATAAAATGCTGTATGTAATTATAAGGCTATATGACATTTTAATTTTACAATTAACATATAGAAAGTTAAAAAAATAAAAGTATCTAACAGTTACACGAAATACAGAATGCGCATTTTGAAAACTCATTCTGATGGACTATTTCTCACTTTTCTTAGTCCACCCCAATTCAATAATCGGTCAGGAGTCAATAAATCAAAATCAATCAATTTATTTATCGAGCATAAGTGAATAAAGTGAAGATCAGGATCCTGGATCAGGATCTTTAAAGAACCGTCAGCCAAGCAGTCTGGATGTCCAAAAGCTCCCGAACTCTTTGGCCTCCATCCTTTTATTTATCAGCAGCGCCAGATCTCCTTGGTCACTTCTCTGAGCAGTTAACCCCAATCTCTGTTGTTCCCATCAGCTGTTCTCAGGCAGAATCATCTCTCAAAAATCTGTGGTCTGCACACAGAGATACCTCTGCACACAGAAACAAAAGGGCAAGTGAAAAGTATCACTCCTCCTTGACATACTTGACACAATTTTACTGACATCTGGGGTGCAGCAAGCAACTGTAGCAAAAAATCATGAAAGCACAGCTAAGCATCATAACTTCCTTATAGAGATATCAGGATAATATCAATTTTATTGAAGCATCATTAATCACGCATACACACAGAGCAGTATAAAAATGCTGCATCTACCCACATCTGCTTTTCCTCCTAGTCCTGTCTATGAACTCTTGACCTGTGTATGCACCCATCTAGGGGAAGCCCCTCTTCAGATCTGTCTCCAGCCAGCACCCACACACAGCCCTTGTGGTTTTAGCAGTTAGTTAGAAACACATTATAACAGGGGTTAAGTAAAAGTACGCTATATCAGGAGACATCATCATCTCATTTCTGTATAGAAAAGTCACACATTACAGCTGCAACCCAGATAGGGCCTTTCTGCAAGACTTGTTAGTTACAGATTTAGTTATTTGACATTATAGGGGTGGAAAGATCCTGTCTCATTTTAAGGTCAAACAGAATCTCTCAGCATATCACTGCGTGAGCTCATTAGATTATCATGGTTCAAGCAAACACATACACATATGCATAATAAGCATGAACACATATATGTTATTCAAAAGAAGTATTTGACTGTAATTCTATTCCTTCAATTCACTAAATTCAGAATGCGCATCTTAAAAACTCATTCACGAAATACAGAATGCGCATTTTAAAAACTCATTCACGAAACTCAGAATGCACATCTTAAAAACTCATTCACGAAATACAGAATGCACATTTTAAAAACTCATTCACGAAATACAGAAAGCGCATTTAAAATTTTTCACAAAATTCAGAAAACGCATTTTAAATACTCATTCACAAAATACAGAATGAGCATCTTAAAAACTCATTCACGAAATACAGAATGAGCATCTTAAAAACTCATTCACGAAATACAGAATGCGCATTTTAAAAACTCATTCACGAAATACAGAATGCGCATCCTAAAAACTCATTCACGAAATACAGAATGCGCATCCTAAAAACTCATTCACGAAATACAGAATGCGCATTTTAAAAACTCATTCACGAAATACAGAATGCGCATCCTAAAAACTCATTCACGAAATACAAAATGCGCATTTTAAAAACTCATTCACGAAATACAGAATGCGCATCCTAAAAACTCATTCACGAAATACAGAATGCGCATTTTAAAAACTCATTCACGAAATACAGAATGAGAATCCTAAAATCTCATTCATAGCTAAGTATTCATAATTAAAACATTTAATAAAGTTGTCTTGGACAGCGAGAATTTATTTCGCTAGATTAAATAGTCTTGGAAACAGGTGTTCATTAGCTGACCACCATTCGAGAGGATTCCCCATAGTGGGAATGTCAGGCATCTGGAGAAATCTTGAATTTCGTCTTCAATGGTAGTTGGCTGTTTCAACGTTGGACTGCGGCTTCTGTAGTTACATCCAAAGAGCTCCTCAAGATCAGCCTCGAGTCTTGATTTTTTTATGCTTACTGGGCAATAAATTGGTTCCCCTTCGGTTGGGGAACTTCAGTGCTATACAGTGGATTTGATTTTGAAAATCCACGTATGGAAGGTTTCGGTTCAGAAGCCGCTTGTCTGAAAGAGTATTGAACCGGCCAATGAATGCAATGAATTGGCAGCGTAAGCTTGCACAGGTGTGCTTCATTGCCAATTATCCCAGCATATAAGCACACCTGGAGCGAGCAAACGCCATCTTTTTCGCTTCAGAGACTTTCTGATCGAGTCGATGAGGGTTCCTCCTGCTGTGATCCAGCTATTCCGAGCGAACGAGAGCATTCTCCCGGTCCAGAGTGTGTACATGCAGTGGCAGACGGTCGAGCTGGGTTTCTTCCTTGCCTGGCGTTCTTTGGGTCCGGTCCTCCAGAGCAGTGCGTATAAAGTTGCAACTTCACAAAGAGAGCAACACAGTGGTGCAGCACGTCCTTTTCAGGACGGCGCTCCGACTGTGCGTTTCTGGATGCGGTGGTTTCCTGTCCTCGGATGATGGGCACGGGCGCTGCTTTGCATGCCTGGGGGGTCTAGCATGTTAATGCGCTGCTCGCGGGCAATTTATGTCATCATTGCTATGCCATGACTGTTGTGCAGTAAAGATCGGGGCTAGCCTTTGCAAAAGGGCAAACCACCCCAGTTGTACCCTGCTCTGCAGCGGGCCCTCGGGCAGATCTGAGGGTTTCAGCAAGAGATAATTCGTCGCCCACGGGCCCGCGGACCTCCCGCTCTTCCAAGCGCTTCATCCAAGCTTCGGGCGGGGGAAGCGATCCGTCTAACAGATGGTAGCCCTTACGCTCGATGACACCGGAGACCAGACGTCCACCGCGGCATCGGAGGGTGGGCTTTCATTGACTGATGATGATCCAGAACCAAGATGGTTTATCCCCCAGCTCCGCGGCCGGACCAACTAGAGGGGCGTCCCCTTCTTCCCTGAGGTGCACAGTAGGCTCACACGATCTTGAAGGGCACTTTTTTCTGCTCGTGCTGCGTGTCCCTCCACCCTCACCACTCTTGACGGTGGAATGGCCAGGGGGTATGTGGCGATTCCTCAGGTTGAGTGCGCGAAGGCGGTTAATCCGTGCGGCGCCTATTCTTGGCAGGGTCCGCCTCGTCTTCCATCCAAAGCCTGAAAGTTATCTGCCTCCCTCAGAGCTAGAGCTTACAAGACTGCGGGCCAGGCTGCTTCCGCCTTGCATGCGATAGCCACCTACCAGCGCTACCTAGTGCAGGCGCCGACCGAGCTGCACGAGGGTGGGTCCAACCCAGGCTTATGAGCTTTGCACCGCCGCCGACTAAGCTCTTCGGACTACTAAGTCTGCTACGTGTGCGTTGGGGAGGACGATGTCCACACTAGTGATCCATGAGCGCCAACCCCAGCTGATATGTCAACAAAGTCCGCTTTCTTGACTTCCCCATATCCGAAGCTAGCATGTTCGGCGACACCATCTGTGAATTCACCCAGGAATTCGAGGCCGTGAGAAAGCAGTCTGATGGGTGATATCTTATCAGCCGGTCCGTAAGCCCGCTCCGCCCGCCATTTTGTACATTAAATCTTCCCTCTGGAGCTCGGGTGCGGAGTGAGAGCAAATCTCTCACCTCCAGCTCTTCCGTGGGACCCGCGCGCTTCCCGTATCAGCACACTCACTCCGCACTGCCCCACTGCTGGTACGTCAGCGATTGTAGCGATGAGTCCATTAGCGAGAGCTGTGCCTGCCTGATTAGTGCCTGGTTAGATTTGGCTATGCGATTCAGTACGCGAAACGGCCCCGCAAGTCACGGGTGTGTATTCACCAGGGTCAGCCCCCTGTCCGCCCCTGTCTTGCAAGAGGAGATTGCTGTCCTCCTGGCAAAGGATGCAATCGAGCCGCTCCCTCCAGCTGAGATGGAGAGCGGGTTTTACAGCCCACACTTCATCGTGCCCAAAAGAGCGGTGGGTCACGGCCAATCCTAGATCTGCACGTTTTGAACCGCTGTCTGCATAAGCTGCCGTTCAGAATGCTCACGCAGAAGCGAATCCTCCGGTGCGTTCATCCTCTGGGTTGGTCTGCAGCACTAGACCTGATGGACGAGTATTTTCATGTCTCCACTCTTCCTTGCCACCGTCAGTTTCTACGGTTTGCGTTTGAAGGTCGAGCTTGGCAATACAAAGCCCTCCCCTTCGGGCTCTCTCTGTCTCCGCGGATCCACACTAAGCTCGCGGAGGGTGCCTTAGTGCCCCTTCGGCTCGCGGGCATCCGCATACTCAATTTTCTTGATGACTGGCTGATTTTTGCCCACTCTCTGAACAATTGATTATGCACAGAAACAAAGCGCTCTGGCACTTCCACCTGTTGGGGTTTCAGGTCAACCGAGAAAAGAGCAAACTCGCCCCCCTGCAAAGAATCTCTTCTCTTGGGCTGGAGCTGGACTCGGTCACCATGGCAGCATGCCTCTCCGGAGAGCGCGCTCAGCTCATGCTGTGCTGTCTGAGAGAGCTCGACAGTAAAATAGTGGTCCCACTGAAAGTATTTCAGAGGCTCCTGGGGCATATGGCATCCGTAGCCGCTTCACGCCGCTCGGACTACTCTATATGAGACCACATCAGCACTGGCTTCACGATCGAGTCCCCAGACGCGCATGGCACGTGCGCGCACACCGAGTCTCTGTTACTGCGCTGTGTCGCTGCGCCCTCAGCCCTTGGAGCAACCCCTCATTCCTACAGGCCTGAGTGCCTCTAGGACAGGCGTCCAGTCTTGTTGTTGTTTCAACAGACGCTTCCAACACGGCTGGGGGGCTGTGCGTTGTAGGCATGCGGCTGCGGACCTGGAAAGGTACCCAGTTGCATTGGCATATCGCCTGGAGCTGTTGGCAATGTTCCACGCTCTCCACTGTTTTTTTCCGGTGCTAGAGCGGCAACACGTGCTGGTCAGGATAGACAGTACGGCGGCGGCGGCATATATCAACCGTATGGGGGGTATGCGCTCTCGCCGCATGTCTCAATCTGTTGCTTCCCCCGAGATCGCTCATTGCCAGTTGTTCTTTTCCCTGACCGAGCGCTCTCGGCACATATGCACTGGCTTACAGCTGGCCTCAGGGCATGCGCAAATACGCGTTTCCCCCAGTGAGCCTGCTCGCGCAGTTACTGTGCAAGGTCAGGGAGGACGAGGAACAGGTTGCTGGTTGCGCCCCTCTGGCTCAACCAGACCTGGATGTCAGAGCTCTCCCTTCTCACGATAGCCCTCCCCTGGCAGTTCCCTTCGAGAGAGCACCTACTCTCTCAGGGACAGGGCACCATCTGGCACCCTCGCCGATCTTTGGAGTTCATTAGACGCGAGGAAGACTTAGGTAACCTCCAATTGTGGTGGCTATTACCGTCACTCGGACTAGAGCCCCCTCCCCGAGCGCTCCTATGCCCTGAAGTAGAGTCTATTTACTGAATGGTGCCGTCT